CTCCGCGTTTAGGATTCCTATGAATGCCGCCACCTTCTTTGGTTCGAGGTAACATATTCTACCTGGTGCTATGAACACATAGGATATGATGGGACGTTTCGCTCCTCGCTTGGCAGAATCTGCATAATTCGATATCAGAGATGCCCATATTATTCGTGAAGAAGCGAATTAAGACCCGCGAAGAAGCCGGTGACCAAACGTAATTAGTTCCTTCTCTGTCTCTGCCTGCTTATGTGCTACACCGGAAAATCTTGTAGATCCTTGCGCTTACCGTTATCCTGCGTTTTACTTTCAGTGGTATTCCAATTTTTTTTATGCCCATTGCCATGCCAGCCTCTTAACACACTTTCTTGGTGCCCTACAGAATGGGTCCCTCGAGCTCTCCTCTTGGCTGCACGCTCAGCCCTTTCATTGTCTTCAATATCCGATTGGCAAGAATAAGCATAAATGTTATCTAAGATGTTGGCTTATTTCACACAAATATTTTTGAAAAATCTCAAACCGATATGACCCACAAATAATATTTTAAAAATATCGTTCTTTTTTTCGAGTTCTTTCAATCTTCTGTGCTGGTGCTGCTCTCTAAAAAAATTACAATTTTACTCTCAATCTTGATATGTGCCACTGAATCCCATAGAAACGGGAAATTTTCAATTGGAACATTGAAGATTTAGAATATGCCTGCAATGGATAAACACATGTATGAGCTGACACATGCAAATGCACGCAGTTAGCGACTTGTTCTCGCCAAACATAACTAATGGGTTTCTGGTGCATATTTTTCTAACCTTGGGTGGTGAGTGTAAATGACAAATATTTAATTTTAAATTTTGTTTTTGATAATTAATTATGTATTACATCTGCAGGATATATATAAATATTAATTACGCATGAAAGTCAATACGTGCAACATTTTTCATCTGTGCCTCAAGGAAAATGTAATTTTTTGATCAATGTTCCCACCCACACATTTACAATGCAAATAAGAAAATGTATGGTGAGTTCTTAATTCAATTACGAAAATTAAAGTATGTACAGTGACCGCGCTTTAGTCGTAGATGCAGCTGTCTTTATTTTCGCACAAATTGAAATCACATCTAAATGCAAATCAATGAATTAGTTGTTATACCCTACACCACTTGGGGCTTAATATGCAAAGAGTGTATTAAAACATATGCAACACCCAGAAAGCTTTGAGATAGACTCGCTTTTTATTATCTCGATCGACACATAATCTCGTTCTGATGTTACTTAAGAGTGTCCGTCCGCTTGTGTCCGTGTGTGTTTAATTTAATGTTCGCAAATTTTCAGATATTTTGATGAAATTTGACACACTAACGTGACACTTCAGTTGAGGACGAACGCTTTTGAAAATAATGCGGATTTGGCCAATTTTTGGAGCACTCCTCAAACAAAGTCGTATTTTTACCGTTTCATTGCAATCTAATTTCATATTTCGCGTATTCTTTGTTCGTCGGTATACACTCTGTCGCGAAAGAGGTCGACAAAGTTAATTGGTTAAAGTGTGATGTGGTGTAAAGTATACAATGATGGGTCGTGTCCCACTATAGTATTTTTACTTATTTTCTCCGCATATTGCGAATGAAACAAAAAGATGGCATCTTTCGCCACGAAGCGGGAACGATCAATAACTTGAATGAAAAAGTGTACCAAAGTGTACCAAATTCTTAACAATTTACATCTACAATTTAATGTTAATTCAAATAATTTCTATTCAGGAAAAAAAACCGGCCCAAGGTTACTATAAAAAAAAAAAAATTCTTTCTTCTTTACTTTATTATTATTATTTCAGTTTGTTTCGTATGATCGTTATAATTTCCTTCATTTAATAAAATTCGGGTATCAATTATTAAATTGAAAAATTACTTTTCCGTTAGCAGGTCGTTTATATTTATACTTTATGTCTTCTTTAGTATTTTTTGTTTATGTATTTATATTATACCATTAGTTGGTTTTATTCTTAATTAATTACTTGTGTAACTTTAAGAACATTAAAAAATTACTAAAAACATTAAGTAATTGGTAGATACGGAGATGAATTAGTTAATTTATTGTATGTCTATTTCGATAGAGGACGCTACTGGTATACTGGAGGAAATTTTGCATGCAAGTGCAGTGAGAGATAATTATAAACAAATAGGAGGAATAAGAGAAAGAGAAGAGAATTACATTCATTATCGTTAGCTTTCATCTTTTTATTTATTCAAACTAACGTAACAAAAGATGATAGAACCTGGAACATTTGAAGTTATTTGTAAGTCATCAAAAAAAAGGCTAGGCTACGTGCCTCAAAATCTCAAAAAATTGTTGTTTATTCATTCTATACCTACCTCAATGGTCTCCTTTCGCACTTGTATCAGCTTCAAACTGATTTAAGTAATTTGTCACATGATGCTCATTAAATTTTATGATAATAAATGTAAACAAAAAAATGCAAGTAGCTTTCTTTCTCAAAGACACATTCGTGCACTACTGAATATATCATCGATTCACAAAAATTGAATTCGTTCATGGATTTAGTGGTTCTGTTCGGCCAAAGATTACGTTTCAATCTGCACATTGAGCTCACTTTAAGGAAAACTAGGTCGTCGCTAGGATCAATTGAACGGCAGCTTAATGTCAACTTAGTCAGACCAATATTGAAATATGACCAGCTTGTCTCTTTGCCTCCTTATGAAAATAGATTGCTTCTGCTAGCCTTACCGTCCCTTGCGAAATGTGGATATATTCCTGGTTGTTCCTTCCTAAATAAGTCCATAAATGGTGCTATCAATTCGTCGATAATATTTGGTGATGTAAGCTTTACTCTTCTGAGTTATTTATCTAGGAACTTTGTCTTCATAAAGCTTAACCAGTATAAATATAATTGCGAACTTTTCACTGCGTTCAGAGTCCTGTGTAAAAATCTGCTTGATATGTTTTAGTGAATCGCAACAGCGGAGCCTTTAGGTTCTATCAAAGCAACTCTTCTTAATGCGCGCGATTTGCTTATGTCGTATTTAACTTAACTTGGTATCAGTCGAAAAACAACAGAGTTTGTTTACCATCGTTATCAATTGACAAGCTCTTGCATATTTGCGATCGCTTAGGAGTTTACTTACCCACTCGGACCTTTAGCGGCTGCAAGTGTGCTTCTGAAGAATTCCAAGTTTTCTCGTTTGCCGTATGCTTCAAGATATTTCACTGAAAATATTCTACGAAGAAAATTTCACTCCCTACACCGTTTGTGTTATAGGTCCGCTTTTCAATGATTGTGGTAATTAATCGATGCCGATTTCTATATAGATGCACATACAGTATTGGAATTGAAATCACATCTGAATTGTTGGCGCTTTTTTCATGTAGTTTAACAAATTCATTATTCACCACAAGTGGTGTAGGGTTTGATGTGCAAGAGTATATTAGGTTTGGGCGGATGAGCAAGCACTTGAGACAGACCTACCTTTTATTGTGTTAATATATTTTTGAGTAGATTTTGTTTATATACTACAACATATGCTTATCTAAGTATTGCAAAAAATTTATTAAATAGATAAAGTTTTGATTAATTAATTAACTTGCGTCAAGAGCAAACTTTTTTTTTCATTTGATGTTCCGGTTGCTGATTGTCAATGTATTCGATAGACCGCTTTGCATCCAATACAGTCTTCTTTGCCTGCGTTTCGGTTTTGGATTCTTTCATATTCATCATCGAATAAGTTTTCAGGTTTTTTTTGCTTTATTGAGGGAAATTCTTACAATTTATTTTATTCAAATTATTGTCCATAGTGTTGCTAGCTACAATTGTTCCCCATCTTTCTTGTTCGAGCAAACAATGAGCCATGTATTGAAACCTGCGTTAATCGGTGGGAGTAACATTGGCTGATAACAGCGAGAAGGGTAAGGCATTCCAGATTAAAACTGTAAACATTTCCTGGACGAGTTTTGCTATATGGAACGGAAATCCTTCGTACTAAAAATTCGCGATGGTTATAATGTTTGGTATATTGCAACAATTACTGAACGTGGTACTTATTTGGCTGAAACAAACTGACCCCCTGAAATGAGACCATAAAGGATATTCAGTCAGTTAACGTCAATGTTATTATGTATTCGCATACTCACTACAATGGTTATTTAAACTTTGGATATTGTAGCGAGTCCACTGCTCATTCGTTATACGGATTTAGCCGTGCTATCCGTTGAATTAATCAGGGAAAGTAGTTTCCCGCATATTTCGTTTTTTGGCAAAAAACTACATCTATTCAAACGCCGTGTGTACGCTTTAGTAGTGTGACAATTTATACAGATACGTATAACTGAAAGATTCTATTTTCTTATGAAGAAGTCAGAGTTTTATTCTATGCCTTACAGTACTAATTACAATTTCTCTTACCGGAAAACAGGATTGAACTAATTTGTGGTCCCAATATTTAGGCGTACTGAAAGTGAGTTGGGCATATTTATTCATTTTTATGCTTCATAATATTAAAGAATAAATTGATATGTGTTGCCATCATTTTGGGAAGAAACATTAAACTTATAATAATAAATTGTTAAAATACTCACATGGTTTTAAGCGACCAGCAGTTAATGTATTTATTTTCCCAAACTTATTATTCATCGAATTTGAAAATTTTCTCCTCCCCTATCAATTTCAAAAATATGCTGCATATATTTTAATTCGCTTGTTTGCAAAAAAAATCATATGACTTGTTTGCTATCCCGACAAAGCCTAGTTAAATAAAACACCTATGTCCTGACACGAGAAATACTATTGTGATTCGACCTAAATCTAAATCTTATTATGGCGTTGAGCCCTATTGTTTTAATCAAATGGAATTGTTTAAATGGCCATCTACATGTACTTAACCTTTATTTCGAAAAGTGGGTATTCTCCGTTACAAGAACACAAAATATCATTTATTTATAGAAAGAGCGGCAACTCTACTATCATTGACACATTTGACATATTCGACTAATATATTTAATCCAATAAGATCGTTTACTCGTTGAGCAAACAAGGGAAACTACCAGACTTTTTTTTTGCGAAAACCTATTTAGCATAACCTAAGGAACTCCTCGACTATTTTCGTATATTTAAAAGAAGCGTGTTGTTGTGTACAAAACTCTTGATTAATAAAGGCAAAAATAAGAAACTTATTTACTTGAAATGCCGGCAACGCCAGTTACTACGTGCACTATATGTGCGGAAAATTTCAAAGCAACGGACACTATTTACAATACTAGTTGCGGCCACGTATTTCATCATGATTGCCTTCAGAATTGGCGAGGAAGGTAAACTAGAATAATAATAACCAGATGAATCAATTCATGCATTATGCGTTTGTTATTTTCCAGATCTAGCGAGTGTCCGATATGTCGTGTTCAGTATGCGAATATGCAAAAATTGTACCTGAACTTTGACGAGGAGGCAGCTGACGAATCAGTAGTAAATGATCTGAAAGCGAAACTGGAAAGCTGCGAAACTAAAATGGAAAAAATATATGACGAATCAAATCAAAAGGATCTTGATTTTTTGCAAATACAAGAGCAATGCACTATAGCTCAGGAAGAGATTCGACGCTTAAATGGCGAACTTTCCAAACTTAAAGATAGTGAGACAAATTTTCTGGCATTACAGAAACAATACACTGAGGCCCACGAAAGTATTAAAGATTTGGAGGAAAAGAACGAATATTTTTCATTGCAGATTGAAGGAAAAAACAGAGAAATTCGACTAAGGATGTTGGAAATTTCTGCACTCAAATGTACCGCGACAGGTATGGAAACACCAGTAGATGGATCGGATTCGATATTGAAACAAAAACTAATTATAATGGAGCAAAAGCTAGGACACGTCACCGCAGAATTGCAAAAGGAAATATCGATTTCGGTTCAACTATCTATAGATAAAATGAAACTACAAAGTTTAGTCGATCAGTATGGTGCTACTAAAATGGAACCAACGCCACTCCCCAACAATATTCAAAAATCGAATCAGGTGGAACAAGAAAAGACGATGCCTACCAAAAAAGAAACAATCGCCAAAGATATTACTCGTGTAACTAGTGTTGTGATAAAACGTTTCCCTTCGCGTCACATCCGCTATCCTTTAGTCAATATAATTATAGCCTTTGCTGCCACAATCGATGTGGAAATTTCTGCGCACGATATACATGGCGTACGCCTACTGGAAAAACAAAATATAAAATATCGCTCAGCAAATATCGTCTCTTTATTGGTACAATTTAAAAGTTCACGATTAAAAACCAATTTTCTCAATAACAGGTGTAAAGTGAAGAATCATCCCGAATATGGCTTGGTAATAATCCATGAATATAGGGACGATTATACCAACACTTTATTTCATTATGCAAAGACAAAATTAAAATATTACGGGTTTTGCAACGTAGTTTGTGAAAATGGCCAAGTAATGGTTTCGAAAGGTAAGAAAGGTAACAAACGAATCCATATAAAAAGTACGGCCCAAGTAGACGATATGATCCCTAAGTATACCGAATGCGATAAAGAGAACGTAAACGAGAACTTTCCGGAACGCTTGAGAGCTGCTAACAGCAAGTCGAACTTATCTGCTGAAAAAGAAGAAACTTCAAAGGGCGAAAGCGATCTAAAATGTGATGAAGACTTCTACGCATTCTATTATTAATAACTCTACGAATTTTACGTTGTTTCAGTTGTATAGTTGTGTCAGCGGCTTGTGGAATTTCCAATAAAGACAATAAATGGACACTTTTTTTAAAGTATTATACAGTATTGTAAAGTATTGTTGAGATTTAGAAAAAAATTCTATTTACCGGATGATGCAGCTCAGCGCTGCGGCAACCGTTATTTGTCCTATTTGTTGTTCTTAACTTATTATATTTCATTATCAAACAAAACATTGGCATTGTGTTGTTTGTTTACTTTTCCAACAAACACTTATCCCACGTTTTCCACTGCTACCTATTTTGGAGATTACCGACCTTAGACGACCGCATGCGAGATTTTCTTTCTCATATTTTTCATTTTACAAATTATTTGGATAATTATTTCTATGTTCTCCACGATTGAAGTTTTAGCTGACCGCTTTATATAAAGCTTTTTCTTCTTACTTTGTATTCAATAAATTCGCACGGAGAAAATTATCTCCACGTAAAGGGAGAGAGTGGTGTGCACCTTCGCTTACATAGTACTTATAACACATATGAGAATTGCTTAGGTAGAAATTTTAACACGATTTTTTTGCTTTTGCCTTGAATGCTGAGCAAAAGGAGTCATATTGCAAAAATGTTGCTAGCAATGGTCGACTTTTTTACAGCCTTTGTTTATTTTAAAGGAAAGTAAATGAATTCTTTGCAAAATGGTTTCTCTTAAATACAAAGACATCTTTAATTGTACGCTGATTTGCCAGCACTTTCAATGCAGTGAACAAAGTAAGAATTGAGCATATGCTCAAGAAACCTGCATTCGATTATCTAATGAAACTTTTCTCAATCTTACGTGGAGGGCAATCACGTAGCTGATAGTAAATCGGTATGGACTGAAGATCTCCCATTATGTGCCGTAATATTCTCCTATTCTTGCGCGCGCTTTAGGTTATCGTTTCAATGGTGAGTTAGGGTTTTTCTAGCTGTTCTATGAGAGAGTAAAAAATTTCTGGTGAGGTAGATTAAATACTCAAAATCGATAGCAACATAGACAGCTGACTTAGTGTCCATACTGAAAACCATAATAGTTTTTATGAAAACAAATTTTGCGCAACAACGACCGTTTTCGCAGGCAATCGAATAATGGCAGCCGCACAGTTCATTAAAGCGACTTTTTTTTTAGTGTACATTTCCTTCACTGATTCAGAGTAATATTCTGGGGCAAAAGAAATTCACAAGCAATCTGCAGATATCTAAAAGTGTGAGCTCGGCAGAGTTCAGATGCAATCAAAAAATTGCTTTTAGCCCCGCGAGGGAATTCAGCAAGAAATTTACACACTGACGCCTAACTTTCCTCCCACAGATCCCAATAGTTCTCTCGAAGAAAAAATATGCTGAATAACCGATCTTCGGCGGTAAGTGTATTAATAGAATTCTGTGCTACAGTTACTCAGAATTATGATCGAACACAAATTTAGTCCACATTTTCATTCAATACGTTTGCAAGTGGGCAAGTACGGTAAGTTAAATTTCTCATCTAATAATTTCAATCCGCACTGACATCGAAAAATAAATGTTGTTATTATTTATAGCTTCACTAAGAGAACGCAAGCAACGATATGGAGCAAAAAAGCTGATAAGGGAGCAAAGCAACCTATTGGCAGAACTAACAAAATTTAAAGGCAGTTTATTCCACACCCGCAGGATCGGGGTATATTCATTTGGTCGCAACGTTTGCAATATCTAAGGTGATTTAAGGATGAGCATCTATTCTCCTGTCTGTCTTTGCAACATCGATGGTAAACATTTTTTCATTTGCAGTTATGAAGATATCAAATTTGGCAGAAAGATTGAAAGTTCTAGGCATTGAAACTGGATCAAATCGGCCAAGTAACACACATCACGAGTGCAACATGAACGGAATGCGTCTCTGCTTTATAAGTTTTTACTATTCTACAAAGATGAGAAGAAGTAGCCACGCCCACTCAATCTTATAAAGTATGAAAATGTAGTTTCTCACCCTCACACCACCTTTCGGGATTAGCAAACCACCAATCAATTGTTATTATTGATGAAAAGTAATCGGTGTCAGAATTTTCAAGCTCACACTGACTGTAAACGATATTTTTCTCAGTGACAAGTATTGTTTAATTAACGCAAGAAATTTCCGACTTTTCCATTATTTTCGAACTAACGAAAATAATGTCGCTAAAACCACCTGCACTCTTATAATACAGCGAATAATCGGAATGACATGAAACGTTGCCAGGCATTATTTGAGAGCCGATACTTACACAAAATAATATGAGGTTTTCGTTAGGGACAAAATTTGCGTATCACTACCGAAACTTACTGACCGAGAAGGTGGCATAAAGAGAACATAACCCTTAAGTTCACATTTGAAGTATTAATCGTGCATCCAAACCTATATAAATAAATCATTTTCTATGCTGACTTACGATATGCTTGAGTAAATTCCTATTATTAATATGATTATAAAAGAAACAGCAAAGCCAAACATTGCAACGGCCATCTATGAAAATATTTAAGGAATTTTCTGCAAATTTTTGCAATAATTTCAAAGCCATTATGGCCCAATCGCTTAACTTGTTGGCAAATTTATATTTCGTATGCACATGGTGCAGAACTAGTTCGCACTCGCAGCAGCAGCAGCAGCAGCAGTAGCAAAGTGGTTACGAGAGGCCATCTGTTTAGTACTTTGAGCAAAGGGTCCATTCTAACTGAATATTTTCAAAGTACCTTTCACATAGTCTGTATAAAAAAAAAATTCAGACAAAACGAAAGTCTGCATACGGTTTCCATTCGAATCTATACAATATTTTGCATGTTCTCACGTATGAGTATATAATCGGAAAAGAAGTGATTTTAAAAGTTCGTTATAAGCTTATAAGCCTTTTGCTTAATTCAATGTCATGTGAAATTAATTTGAAACAATTCTTCTCCTTGGGCTTTTGACTAAAACAATTGAAATTCTTTGCTTATAAGACTTGATCATGTTTCGTATTGCGTTTGTTACAAAAATTAATAGAAGCTTAAGTGTATTGTTTTGTGACCGGGCCGGTTAAATTAATCGATTGACAAAGAATTTTGTAGGGAATTGCTTTAGTTAATTAGAATGCGTTTTACATTAGTTCGCTAAAGTAAAAGCTGAACAACAATAAAGCTATCATTAAATTAAATTACTTTAGTACGGAATTTTCAACAACATTTCTGACGCACAGGGGGATGATGGTATAGTACTATTAACCTCATTTATATAGAATTAAAACATACTTTGCATACTCAAATTGTTAACTAGTAATGGTTAAGTGAGCTCTTATATGCGACGGAAAATATGAAAGTCATCGAATTACAGAAGAAAGGAGAACAGAGAAAACTTTCAAAGCTTTAACACTAGAACTACCAACGACTCGCATTTACCTATTTCTGCCAAATGGCATGCCCTAACCGTAAAACTAATGATAAGTAGGAAAAATTTGGCACCAGCTCTCCGCGATCGATTAAGAGCACAACAGAATAACAACTGAGCCAATATTGAAAAAAGTACCGACAAGTTTTCCATACTTTCGTTTATGACTTTCGACTTTGTAAATCTATATCTTTAGTCGGGGAATTCGGGTTAGCAAGACGTCCGCAAATGAACGCAAAAATATTAAACCGAACTTATTTCCAACCTATTTTCAATTTGTTTGTAATTGGGTGGAGAACATGCTTAACGTGCATGTGAATGAATTGAAAGTAATATAGGAAATGAGTTGGGATTAAAATTTTATCATTAATTATAGGCGTATTAGTAATCCGCTTGGGACCATTTTAGACTGAGCACATAGTTTTTCAGAAATATCTCCACGAGATCCAAAGCTGTAGATGAAATTATAAAAAAAATGTCCGGAGTTTCCTGCAGTTTTTTGCACATTGTGGACATGAGTATAGGGAGATTACGTTCACTTTTTACCTTCATGACCCTAATTGATTAAGAAATGTTCTTGTTAACTTTACGCTTGGTATCTGCTTTTTTTTCTGCGACTGCGGTTAGTCGAGAAAAGAAAGGAAGAAATAGATATATGGCATTGCTATCTCGCAAACAAGAGTAGATAGAGCAGAACGAATTGTAGGTATTTAAGAGTCTTTCCGCACAAGGAATTTTGGAACTTTGCATGCCTTGTAGTCATAATTTTTTGAAGATCGAACATCAAAAAGGAGTAAATTCGCGTACTCGGTAATTCCATTGTCACAGGTATTGGCATATGTGAAAGTCGCTTAACAAAAACTAACAAAATTAATTCACGGTTTCTGTAGAAGGCGCATAGGTCACTTGCCCATCTCTGTTATAAGGCAGCTTATATACTCTTCTGATTATGTTTAAAGTATAACAACAGGGACAATTGTAATGAACTGAATTGAACTGGTTTTGTGGAAAGCAATTACAAGATAAACCCAACGCATTGTAAACACGTATATGTGTATGTGTGTATTGTGTACTGTACTGACTTTTAATTTTAAATCAAATAAACAGAAATTGGCATTTTTAGCAGCAAAACATCGACGAGCCAATGTTCTGGTCATGGTTCTATTAAATTTTATATGTGCTCACAGGCAAAGGGAACAAACATACTGTGATATAAGATAGCAAAGGGAACAATAATAGAGATGGGCTTTTAAGTATAAATATACAATACTTATATTTAATGCATATACATGTGCAAGCCTATTATCATACACAATGCCGTCGATGTCTTTCTCAGTTTATAGTTGGCGATGTTTGAAATCTGCAATTTTTGTTGTTCTACAATTTTGCCCATCAAGTATATCTGTTAGGACATTGATTTTGTTCGTTGACACTCTCTCGTTTAAGTATTTTACATATATATTTGTGTATGTGTGTGTGTGTGTGCGTTTTTTTTTTTTTTTTTTTTTTTTTTTTTTTTTTTTTTTTTTTTTTTTGTATTCATGCAATTTCCAATAGGTCGATCGATAAAATTATAAAACTATTCTACTAGCAATTGGCAGAACTCTATGCCAATATCTGTACGTGTGAGTGCTTGTGGATAATAACGAGGAGAGTTGAAGCAAGAACTTGACATCGTTTCGTTGTTTTCTAAAAAAAAAAATTTCATGCATTTCGTACACACAAAGCAAATTAGCGGCAGATTGAAGCATTTGTAATTACGACGCTACCTCATCATTGATTCTATTCGATCTAAAACTCTTGTAAAACAGTTAAGAACAAATACCAGCATTTACTGAATCTTTCCTAAACTACCACTTAACCATCAATGTTTTTGATTTTAAAGAGAAAATACATGTTAGTTAGCTACATTAAGTCCGAATTAAAGTCTTTTTTGGTCTAAATGAAAGTTAGAACGCTACAGAGTGGCAGGATGGATCTCATTATCTACAACGCAATATTTCATTTACAAAAATTACACCATATTGCCGTACACAGGTTAACTTTTCATAAGAAAACAAGTAAAATCACTGGTGAAGTGTGGCCTCCGCTATCTTGAAGTTATTGATGCAACGACCTTTTAAAATAAGGCGTTTTATGGAAAGTAATCGAAAAAGTTATCCCATCGGAACCATTTTTAATAGCCTTCGTCTCTGTGCCAGCACACGTCGTCATATCAAATTACCTAAAAAACATCTCAAATACTCCAAACCACCTGTGGGTTGAACACAAGAAAAAAAGACAGACGGACAAACAGATGGGCAGTCTGATACAAAAGCTTAGGGAAAAAAACTCTGAATATATATGTTTAATAAGAGATGAGATATTTCTCAAATGTCATATGTTCCATCAAAGTTTTTTAAGCAAGTCGATTACATAATAGACACGATGGGAGTCTTAGGATCAACCTTATTCTTGCCAGGGTGAGTCTATGAGGCCCTTTTGATGTGTAGTCAGTAAAAAATCAAAATGTTTTGATTATTGTAAAGTGTAAAATGGGTCGATGATTGACCAACACGGTATCGCCATGTTCCCAGAAAGATGGGAAAGAGTGGGCAGAAAATGATGGAACATATTTCGATTGTTATAAATCGTAACAATTTCTCTCAATAAATGCCTTTTTTAAGAGAGAAAACGGCCATAATTAATGCACCCATCTTATGGTTTAAATTTCATTAAAGACGATACCTTGCGCAATAAAATGCTTTAAAATATGACTTGCTCGCCGCAACGTTATCAACCAATCAGATTAGGCGGTTAATTATTGGTTAAAAAATTATCTCTGCACAGAACTAATTTGCACCTAAATCTATAAAGGCATTGTGGTCACTCTAATAGTATATATATACAGATGTAATATACTCATATATAACGAATGTATCTATCTATAGCTATGCTTAGAAAATTTTCTTTCAAATACATACTTATATAAAATATTTTTAAAGAACTTACTACACATTTACAATAGATTGTAATAAGCTTAGTTAAATCTGTTGTTCAATTACAATAATTTTTGTGAATTTAATCAATAGTTATTTAATTAAATCTTATTAAACCGTATAATATTTACAATTAGGCATATATATATATACATATATATATATATATATGCGTTGATATTTTATCTGTTTTAACAAAATTTGCAATTAATTCTCTGTATAATATAATAACAATAAAATATGATAATTGCTGACATCATAGATGCAGAAAATTTTAATTAAGGCTTAAATATGTGCGGTTTGTAATTCGGCAATGAATTTGGAAATATATATATATATATAATCACATCATCTTTTTGTAATCACTTCCATATAAAAGATATTTAGAGGGCTTCAAATGTTCCCTTAAACAAGTTAAGATATTTAATTAGCTATTATTTATCCCTTTATTTGTAATTCTCGGCTCTTTCTAACGTATTAGGTGTACAAATAGTTACTTGTCGTTTTTTTTTTTTTCTTTTATCAAAGAAATCGTTTATTTCGCAGAAATGGTCAGAATTTTTAATTCCAAATATTACAACTGTAAGGACCAAAGTCATAAATTCGTTCCCGTCCCACATTTGGTTTATAAGTGGCATTGCATTTTATAGGCTATATTCCAAGTAGCCTAGCAATCCAATATAAAGTATATGATAAGGTATTCGAAGTAGAATAGTTATTTCGAATATAAGATTCTTTCTGATAGGTAACGCCAATCGAAGGATGATCGAAAGTAGGACGTGAAGTCACGTTACAACTTTGCTTTTTCATATGTTTCCGTTTCCACAAAAACGCGCTTGATCACAAACCGTACAGGAGATAAGATGTATGGCCCGTGT